TTAAATTCAAATAGCAGTTCATGTAAAGGATGCTAATTATTATTTGTTTTTAAAAACCAAATAGCTTTTTTGAGTCAGCTGAGAATGGGAAGGGGAGGGGAAATTAAGTGGTGCTGGAAGCTGTCTTGAGGTTCCTCTTAAGATCTCTAGACTCAATCCCCAGTGGAGTCTACATTTTCCCTCTCTGGTCTGAGAGCATCCAGTGAGATGGTGCTCCACTTTTGTTAGTTGGAAGGTTTTATTCTTTCTACCAAATACAAAGAGAAACAAAGCAAGGAGTGAAAGAATGAATGTCAGGAAAGCATTGAGGGAAAGGATGTGAAGTGAGACTAACAAAAGGAAGGAAAATAGGAAAGATACTGAAATAGGTCAGTCCTGGATTATTAGCAGGAGAAGTTGTCCTAAGAGAGAGTCTACACTGTATGTATCAGCTTGGATGAAATTATTATTGCTTTTGACCTTATCCCTTTTATATGACTACTATTTGCTACCATTAGATTACTTTAATAATATAAAAATAATCATAGCAAATCATTTTTAAAGCTAATTTTTAACTTTCTTTTGTTTTCAGAATGATCTTGCTTTCCTATCAGTTGGAGTTTGGATTTTAAAAGCTATATTAACCAGCCTTTTAGTTTCCTGCCAAAGTTAAAAAAATAAAATAAAAAGAAAAGAAAAGAAAGAAAAAAAAAGCTAAACTTAAAAACCCAACCCAGACATTTCACACTTTATGCTGGTAGATCTAATTACATTTCTAGGCTCAAAAATATAAATGTTTAAATAAGTACGTGTTATACTCTTTGCTGTTTATTGAGCTTTGTTTAAAAACAACACTGGTGATTTTATACTATAATGGTAATATTAACAATAGGACATCGACAAAGAATTTAAAAATTAAAAATAAGAATAAGAACTCTTTCTGATTGAAATTAGGAAGGATCGAATTGTAAAAGATGATATGAATCATTAATAATACAGTCCCAAAACAAGTCAGTTATTATGTGATTAAAAGAACATGCATAATACAATTAAGATGACTTGAAGAACGTAGGACTGAAGTATGCTTTTAACTAAGAAAGCTCAAATCAAAGTAATTGCAGCGTATTTACTTTGAGAAAGAATAAGTAAATAAGGCATATTTAATGCACTGAATTCTGCAAATTTCTGTGTCCCAATAAAGGTGAAGTTCCTGCAAAGCCTCCCCAGGAGGTTCTTCTCAGTTCCCCTAGGCACTTCCAGAAATATTTTGTTTGAAAGATATGTCACAGTTATCCCTTCTGCTTGGTATTTTACAGAGTCTCAGTCTGGAGATCAAGACCTAGGTTCCAAGTATATGTCCAAAGGTGGGCCCTTTATGCATTGTGGACTCCATTTTTCCATCTGTAAAATGGCAGTATAGAGCTAAAATCACAAATACACTTTCTGGAAGTGTTAATTCTCTTTTCTTCCCTTTTCTTTTCTAGCTTTCCTTTCCTTATTGCTAACATTTCTTTTATCTTATTATCTGTCTATTAGGAATGCACCTCATTAATTCATAACAGAAGTGGCCGTTAAATATTGGATGAGTACTTGCAATGTGCTAAGGAGCACTTTATCTGCGCTATTTCATTTAATCTTCCCAGTAGACCAATGACATTGTTTTATAGCAATAAATATTCATCTAAATCATTCCCTACATTGTATCACAACAATATTCCATATTCTTAAATGTCCAAATGTTGGTTAGTTAATCTATTTTCAATATTATAATATTAGGAGGATAAATATTGATGTGTATACTATAGATGTAAAAATAAATAAAATAATGTTATAATAAACTAATAAACATTTTTATATATATTATTCATCCATTTAACAAATATTTGTTGAGTACCTGCTATGTGCCAGGCATTAGAGTTATGAAGATGATCAAGAAGATCTTATTCCTTGGTTTCAAGGACCTTATAGTGCATTGGAAGATGTAAGTAAGTAAATAGTTAATCGCATTACAGAGTGAGTACGTAATTAAAGTACAAAGGATGAGTAATCAGAAAAGGCTTCCTGGAGTGAATCCCTGAAAAATGAGAGACTACTGGTAGAAATATGTGGCAGAGGGTTGTTGGAGAGGAGGAAGGGATAATTTTACAGAAACTAGAAGATCTACAATAGAGTTGATATGTTTTTAAAAGTGCTAGTTGCAGATCATTAGTCAGTTCTGAAACCTATTTCGCTGGTCGTGACCAATATTTCAGGTTAAATGAGGTAGAATAAAACAGAATGGAAAACATCAGAGTGTGTCATATAGAAAGGTTCAATCTTGTTTTAAAAAAAAATGTGTTTTATTATGTGTGTGAACCAAATCAAAAAATACCTGAGAAACACTGAAGAAGAATGTCAAGGGTACTAGGGGAGGCAGCTTAGGGAGTGTCAAAGACAGATATGAAATCAATTTTAGTATATCCTGAAGACAGTGGGAGCCATCGAAGAGTAATTCAGGGAATAGTGAGATCAGTTTTGTGTTTTGGAAAGGTCCCTTTAGAGAAAAGATTAAAGATAAGCCAGGAGACTGTTCTGGTGGTAATTACAGTAATGCATAAGAGATCGAGATGCTCTGGACTAGGACAGCAGCAATGGGGATATACAGACAGCCCACTTCAGGCTTGCCCTTAATATTATACAGAGGTACCAATCTGTAGTGTTGCATTGTTCCCTCCAGTAGTAAACAGTAGGTGATATGTAAGGCAGAAAAGATAGAATGATTGATTCGCACTTGGGATGTTGACCAATAAGTAGGATGGGATAAGACCGGAGCTTGGGAGTATTAAGAAAGTGATGGAAATGTTAGAGTGTGAAATCTAAGCAGAATTTAAAAAGATATGAAATCTAGAAGCTGATGCAAACAAAAAATAGTGAGAACAAGACACCCACTAGAATGGTTAAAATCAAAAACACTAGCAATTCTCAAGTGTCAGTGCGGATATGGAATAAATGAACTCTAGTATGCTGCTGGTGGAAGTAAAAATTGCTATATTCACTTTGTAAAATTGGTTGGCAGTATCTACTAACGCTGATTATATACAAGTCTTATGACCCAACTATTCCTCTCCTTGGTACTCCTCTTCTACAAAGAGAAAAGCATGCATTTATCCAAAAAGACTTGGACAAGAATGTTCAGAGTAGCTTTATCCATAATGATCAAAAACTGAGAGCAACTTAAAGGTCACCAATAGTAGAATAAATAAATTGTGATGTATTTGTACATTAAAATATTATACTGTCTCTTGCAAAAACATGGGTTAATCTCACAAACGTAATAGAGTGAAAGAAACAAACACAAAGGAGTACATACTGCATCATTTCAGTTATAAGAAGGTCAAAACAGATAAAGCTAATAATATACAGTGTGGAAAATCAGAATAGTGGTCCATTGATGAAGGCCAGTAATGGCATGGTAGGGACTCAAAGGGCTTCTAGGAGTTGAAAATGTTCTGTTTCTTGATCTGGAAGGTGATTACATGAGTGTGTTCACTGTGTGAAAAGTCATCAGGCTTTATGCTTATGATTTTTGATTGTGAAAATGTTTTACTTCAGTGTTTTAAAATAGTAAAAAGTCAAGAGAGACTAATTTTTGTCTTAGAATAAGTTCTAGCAGAAGTACAATTTCTGGTTCCAAAGAAACCTCAGCTGCCCAAAGTTGAGTTTCTCATACACTTCAGCTCATGGCCCAGTAGTCCAAGCAAGGTCTCGCTAATATTTTATTTTATGTTATTTTTATTCTCTTTATCCCCCATCTTCTTGCCTCCCAGATATTCATCTTCATGTACTTAGTATCTATCTTTTCAAATCACTGTCTGTTCTTCTATGTAGAAATATGTATATCCCTGGAAAATTCATAGTGGTGGTATGTATATGTGTTTTTAATATCTACAAATGACACTGTAAAAATCTCATTTTGCTTCTTACATAGTAAATTTAAACACTGTGATTTTGCAATATATCCATGTTTATGAAAATACACCTAGGTTATTGTAATTGCTGCCTGGCATTCCACTATATACACACATTTTACTTATTTATTACCCTAGTAACAGATACTCAGTTTGCCTCCCACTTTTTGCTACCACAGACTGTACAAGTTTCCTTACGGATCTGTATGAGAGTTAGTTAGTTAAGTACATTTTACAGGCTTTCATCTTTAGCATCAATTTGTTTTCCAGAAAAATTCAATCACATTTTCATCAGGTTTTATAATTATTCATTTTTATTTCATTTTTATTCATAATCTAATAAGCAAAAAACTCTCAATATAGTTTTAATTTGCATTTTTAAATAATTACTAAGTTAATAGTTTTTCATGTGTTTTTTGTTCATTTTACATTTCTTCTTAGTCAACTGCTTATTCATGCCTTTAATGCCTTTATCTTCTGGTACTTTGTTTTCTGTCTTATTGATTCTCAAGAAAGATTCATATATTAAGAAAATTTACCTGTGGTCAGATATTGCAGATATTTTTCTCATTTTAGTATTTGTCTTTTAACTTTGTTTATTATGGTACTGCTGGTGGTGATAGGGTGTTTTTGTTTGTTTGTTTGTTATTTTGTTTGGTTTTGCGAGAGGCAGCTTCTTTATTTTTCCTAGTTCACTGCCCAACACCCGGGGTTCTGACCTGTGGTAACTCTTATGTGCAGATTCTTTCTGTCTTATTGATTCTCAAGAAAGATTCATATATTAAGAAAATTTACCTGTGGTCAAGAGGAACAATAATTCTATCAAGGCATATCAGGGAAGAAAGGAATGGTAATGCTCAAAAACAGCAAAAAAAAAAAAAATTCTAAGTCAATTATATGTTAAGAGGTAAGAGACGTATATATGAGAGAGGAAAAATGGAGTCAAGAGGAACGATAATTCTATCAAGGCATATCAGAGAAGAAAGGAACTAACCAAACCGAAGGGAACAAATATTTGTAAAACAAATTTTCAATGTTAGGACCTTCTGGGAATGTTACAGATAAACTAAAATAGTGCTCGCTCCAGCAGTATATATACCAAAATTGGAATGGTACAGAGAAGATTAGCATGGCCCCTGCGGAAGGATGACCTGCAGATTCGGGAGGTATTCCATATTTTTAAAAATAAAAAAGTTTTGGACCACAGTAAAAATTCAATAAGTGGCAATAATTGTTATGACAAAAAAGAAAATATAAAGCAAACTATATTCAGGACCACCAGGCTGATATTTTCTGAAGTGTGTCATATGGTAAAGAAAGCAATAGTTCTCTGGTCAGCATAACTGCTGAAGAAATATAGTCGCTTCTTTTTCTAGACACTTTATTTAGATATTTAAACCATATCTTAGTATTATACATACATATATATACATAAATACAGTGTGAGATAAAAAAGGTAGGAAAGGGAAAATTAGAGTAGGATAAATAAGATAAAACCAGGGATAACATTGTTACACAAAATGCATATCTAAAAGTTCAGTATAGGCTGTGAAAGAGGGCTGGAATTTGACTGAGCTGCCTAGCATCAAAAGCAACAAGAGTAAAACTTTTTTGTGAAAATTGTTCATGAATTACAATCATTTTTGATAATGAGTTCTGAGAGAAATTTCTCCATTGAGTAAACATAAAAAGAATAAAGCCCTGTAATCTAATTGGTAAGGCCCTTGGCAACATATAAACAGTGCATAATATAAGCCCTCCATATAGGCAGCTAAGGGGAGTACTTGGTACTTCTATGCCCATTGATTCTCATACAAAAAAGACTGAAAATGTCTCCCCTTTCTTAATTAACAAATATATTAGATAAGGGAAGACAGATGTTATAACCATTGACAACATGTGGTTCAAAATCCATGAGGTGATTTTTGGTTACTTTGAGCTCCTGTAGTCAAATGTTTTGTGTTGCAGGGAGGGCTTGCATAAAAATTTGTGACATAAAAGGACTTTTGCATTGAACTCTGTAATTCCTTGTTGACTTTTTATTCCTACCCAACATAAACTATCAGTTTCATAACTCTACAGGGTACTTAATGATCAATATTTTATTGTAATAATGATTTCAACTACACAGCTGACTTGATACCCATGTGACTACTTTTTCTTAACAAGACTGGTTTTGTGTGTGTTTTCAAATAAGTCGATTGAGCAGTAAGGGTGATATGGAGGGTTGCTTAGAGAAAAAGAGCAAATAAGAACAAAAGAGAGGAGGTGGCACATATTTTTATGGCCTCTTATTTTTGTCCTGGTGCTCTTATAGACACACAAGCAGAGCAAATGCACACTTCATGGAACATAATCAGCCTGGGCAAAGACTGTCCTGTATTTGGAATTCATTTTGGAAGCAGAACAGAGGTGTGTGTTTTTCATTATGCCACATTGGATTTTCGCATTGGAGAGTATAATTACCAAACCCTGCCCTCAAACCACTGCAAAAACATCACATGCTTCTTACACACATTTTTTTCCTTCAAACTAGCACTCAAGTGCCCACCAAGGGCCCTGCCCACAGTAGGGTTAGTTTAAAATTCTTTTCAAACACAGTTGTAACATGGCTCTCATCCATAAAACAAGTATTATCAGCAGTTAAATCATAGGATTATTCTTATATTACAGATAAATAGGCATATTTAATGTATAATAGTTATTATATTAAGACCCTGGGTCAGACTCTCCCTGTATATAAAACTGCTCTCCAGAAATCAGGCTCTCAGTAATACGCCAGTATCTCTTTTAAGCTTATAATGAACCCAAGCTACAAACTTCAAATTTAGAAGGTCAATTCAGTTTGGAGTTTAAATTCTATTTAATTTAAAGTTTAGAAGTAGAAAGGAGAAATGAAGACAGAAAGAGGCAGACACTTTATGCTTCTTCTCTGCCTGAGAGCCTTTTGGGTCAGTGAAATTCTAAGCACTGAGCTCTCTTATATTCCCTCTTCCTCACTGCACATTGCAAACCCATGATTTTACCACTCATCCCTGTAGGCTGGGGATGGCAGTTATTGAGGCTTTCTGAGCAGAAGCAGTTTCTTATTGAATCGTGTTCTAGCAGCTTAAAAGACTTAATGTACCTGTTTGAAGAACCTCAGTCAAGAGGAGTAGCAGTGGGGAGAAAGGGAATCGCTTATCACCTGGATTAGTGTGGAATATATGCCACTAATATAATGCAAGATGATTTTAGGTGACACATTAACATTTATCATTTTAATAGTTAAGAGTTTTTAATAATAATACTTTACACTTAAATAACATTTACTATGTGCTGACATTATGCCTTATATGTATATTAACTCATCAAATCCTCATAACTCTAAGGTGATATAATTGTACCCTATTATAAATGAGGCACAGAGAGATCCAGTGGTTTTCCCTGGTTGTTTAGGAGCTTACAGGAAAGGCCTGGATCTGAACCTGTGCAGTAGTCCCCTCTTATACACAGGAGGTACGTTCCAAGACTGAAACCACTGATAGTATCAAACCCTCCATATACTATGTTTTTTGTTATCCATACATACATATGATAAAGTTTAAAATTTACAAATTAGGCACAGTAGAGCTTAAAAATAACTCATGTTAAAATTGAATAATTACAACAGTATACTGTAATAAAAGTTATGCGAATGTTGTCTCCCTTTCTCTCAAAATTTCTTGTACTGCACTCACCCTTTCTCTTGGGATGACATGAGATGATAAAAAGCCTAGGTGATGAGATGAAATGAGGTACATGACATAATTTACAAATTAGGCACAGTAGAGCTTAAAAATAACTCATGTTAAAATTGAATAATTACAACAGTATACTGTAATAAAAGTTATGCGAATGTTGTCTCCCTTTCTCTCAAAATTTCTTGTACTGCACTCACCCTTTCTCTTGGGATGACATGAGATGATAAAATGCCTATGTGATGAGATGAAGTGAGGTACATGACACAGGCTTTGTGATGTAGTGTTAGGCCACTACTGACCTCTGACAATACTGACATTGAGAAGCACTTTATAGATCTCTTTGGCATATTTGAATTACCAGTGTCACTACTCTGAAGCTTTGGGGCCACTAGTAAGTAAAATAAGGCTGACATGAACACAAGCATTGCGATAGCACCATAGCTGATCTGATAACCTAGACGGCTACTACGTGACTAATGTGCGGGGAGCATCTACATCGTGGGTGTGCTGTACAAAGGGACACTTCACGTCCGGGTTGGATGACCCTGAATGGCGTGAGATTTCATCACACTACTCAGAAGAGTGTGCAATTTAAAACTTATCCATGTTTATTTCTGGAATTTTTTCATTTACTATTTTCAGACCATGGTTGACCACGGGTAACTGAAACTGTGGAAAGTGAAACCTCGGATAAGGGGGGACTACTGTACAGTCTGGCGCCAGTCTCTATGCAATTGACCTCTGTCCAGCTCTTCTCAACCGAGGGTTCACTGAGAGCATCAACCCTTAGTGCTCCAGGGCATACACTGCAGGTAATGAATTGCCTTCTTACCTGTGCTCCCAGAGTGGTTACATCTATATGCTGTCCTTGAGTACACAGGAACATCCTAGTGACTTCAGAAAAACAGTCATTATCTTAAGTCATTATCTGCTTGATTTTCTAACATAACCCCTGTTGAAAAAGGCCATTTGGTTATAATACATAAAGTCTACTAGAGAAATATATAACTAGCGGTATTAATTATTGCTATGGACTGAATGTTTGTGCTCGCCCCATTTATACATTGAAGCCTAATCTCTAATATGATGGTATTTGAAGGTTGGGCTTTGAGAGGTAATTAGGTTTAGATGAAGGCACAGGGGTGGAGCCCCCATGATGGAATTGGTGCCCTTATAAAGGGAAGAAGAGCACATAGTATGTGAGTGCTGTCTCTCTCTCTCTCTCTCTCTCTCTCTCTCTCTCTCTCTCTCTCTCCATCTCTCTGTCATGTTAGGACACAGCAAGAAGACAGCCATCTATGAACCAGGGAGCAGCCCTCACCGTATACCAAATCTGCCAGTGCTTTGATCTGGGACTTCCTAGCCCTCAGAACTGTGAGAAATAAATGTTTGTTGTTTAAGTCATCTAGTCTATGGGATTTTTGTTATTACAGCCCAAACTGAAGAGGACAATGATCTATTATTGTATAAAAGTTAACTGCAAAACATCAAACATTTATTATTTTAAAATTTATGTAGGTCAGAAATTTGGGAGCAGCTTAGCTAAGCAATTCTAGCTCAGGAATTTTTATAAGGTTGCAATTAAGATGTTAACCAGGGCTGCAGTCATCTGAAGCCTTCACTGGGGCTGATGACCTGCCTCCAAGATGACTTACCTCAAGACATTGAGAGGAGACCTTAGGTCCACTCTATATAATCTGTAGTTACCTGATTGCTCCCTCATTATGTCAGCTAGCTTTCCCCAGAGTTTGTGATCTAAGAGAGAGAACAAGGAGGAAGCCATGGTACCCTTTGTGAATTAGTCTTAGAAGCACACACTGTCACCCACCATATTCTGTTCCTTAACGAGTGAATGGGTAACTCTGACCTACACGCAGGGATAGGGAAACCTGCTTACACCTTTTAAAGGGAAGTGTTTCAAAAATATTTTAAAACCTCTATGCTAGCACATCAAATCTATGGTTTCAGGGATACAGGTAATACTGAAGTAAGAATTAATGTTAGGTCCGAATTAAGTTTTTTTAATTGTTACATAAATAATAACACAAAAAATTGCTAAAAGAGCAAAAATTGTGAAGATGGTATAATCATCTCCATTACTTGTTTTGTCTTGTTAATTTAATTATTCTAAAAGGTGTGTACTGGTTTCTCAGTGTGGTTTTAATTTACATTTCTCTAATGACTAAGGATAATGAGCATCTTTTCATGCACTTATTTGCCATTTTTTATGTCTTCTTTGAGGAAAAGTCTCTGCAAATATTGCCCATTTTTTTTTACTGGGTTGTTTGTTTTTCATGGTTGAGCATTAAGAGTTCTTTATACGTTCTGAGCACCAATTTCCTATCAGATATGTGATTTGCAAATATTATATTCCAGTCAGGGAGTTGCCTTTTCATACTCCTGTGTCTAATATGAAATGACGATCTAAGTGTTAATTTATTTTGCATGTGGATAATCAA